TCACCATTGCAATCAAGTCCATTAGCTTTGCCGATGGTGGCCCTCTTTCCTTCCCCTTTTCCCAGTAGAGCCTTTTCCAATCCTGTTTTCTAGCAATTGGTGCATTGGGTTGTCCTTAGCAGTTTTGATTTAGTTCTATGCTGCTTCGCTATCCAGAAGCATGTGGAGTAATTTTATAACGAAGTCAGGAGCATCTTCAGTGAAGCTATTTGTAACACAAAGCCACTCCATTCTCTTTACTGTTTTATGTCAGTTAAAAATGGCCAATTGATTACAGCATATATCCCCCACAAAGCCTTGTGACATCACAGTATAACATGATGAAAAGGGTTTTCATGATATTTCTAACTAGGACTCAAAAAAACAATACTGCCTTAATTCTGGAAAGCTGCTGTCATAATAAATAAAAGTGAAGAAGATGGACCTGTTGTTTGTTATGGCATAACTGTGCTCTTTTTACTTCTGGCCCATCTCCATCTATTGGCAAACCTTGACCTAGAAAATTGGTGTGCTGGCAGTTCTATGTGGTCAGACAGCAGAAGATTTCCTACACTAGGAATAACTTAATCCTAATCAGTCCGGACAAAATTAAATTTCATTATTATTTAGTGAATAGTGTATAATAAATTATTTCATTGCTTTGATGGTGAAATAAATATTAGTATGTGATCATTCAATGCAATATAATACAACTTTACTTTTTTTTTACATTTTAAGGAAAACTTTAAAAACAATTTGCATACTAATTACTACTTGAAAACTGGCAAAAGGCCTAATATTGATAAATTATGTTTTAGTATCATCAAGCGGTGCAGGGTAAAATAGAACATGAGTTCATGGCTTGATTCAGCAGAGAGATGTACAGTAAGAAAAGAAACTGGTTTATTTTTCAGCTCATTTACTTGAATGTGTATATATAATTGAAATCCATCAATTATTTATTTATTACTTATTGAATCTGGTGTGGCAGGTTGGAGGGGGGGGGGAAACCATCCCCTCACTATCCAGAGTTTGTGACAGTTTTAACAATTCTGATGTATTGGCACTTGCTTAATTTGTGAGTCTTCTGCTCAACTGCAGATTTTTACTGAGTGAATAAGTTATAGTCCAATATAAATCAAATATGTCTAACAAGCCAGGAGAACTTTTACTTAATCCGCTTGCTGGGTTTATGTACTTCCTTTCTGCTGAGGCACTGCGGCCATTTATAACTTAATTAGTGCTATGCATTCAAAAGTGTGTTAGCGCAAGCAGAAGTCTAAGAACTAGAACAGCCACATCCTTTAGAAGGCTGACAGAGCTGTTTCGAAGGCTGTTCCCAGTTGAATGCATCTCTGTGCACAGACAGCACATTCTGTCACAAAGGGCAGCTTTGTGGGCAGGCACAGATAGTCGAGAACAGCCTGCTTAAAGCCTTCAAAAGACACAGCAGCTTTAATGCTTTGAGGATAGTAACGTGCTCACAGGCTTTGCAAAGCTCTCCCTTTGCTTTGTAAAATACAACTGCAAAATTGTCACATGCTTTAGCACTTTTCAGAGCCTGATGACATAGCCTTTCTGACCTAGGATGTTTTTTCACTCCCACTAAGCACATGAACTTCTGACACATAAAAATAATTGTTTGTTGCAATGAAAACAACAGAGATTTTTGGCAACGGTTAATTTTGCTATTAACATTTGCCGTACTTCCTCTATTTCAGGTTTTTGTTTTTGTTTTACATTACAGTTTCACTATCCACCAACTGTTAATGTTTGTGTGCGTACCTAACTCTGGATAAATTAATCTGAAATATTCAGTTCTCTAGAATCCTACATGACATTTAAAAAATTGATATGTTTCATATATGTTGAGCAGGGAATCCTTGCCCAAATAATGTCCTAATGAATACACGCATTAAACAATTTATAAATATTAAAAGTTTGAATCAGAATGTATAAACTGATTTCAGAAAAGCTAAGTATAATTAATTGTGTAACTAATTAACCATTACTAGGAAATTTCAAGGCTGTGGGCAACATTGGGAGATGTATGTATGTATGTATGTATGTATGTATACAGGTAATCCCCAGGTTACGAGTGTTCCCATAGCAAATGTTCAAAGTTACACGATAAGCACCCCTTAGCATTTACGAAAAAATCCTGAAACTATGAATCTTGCAGCACCATAGCAGTTGTTTGCCATTGTGAACAACCACAGAGGCTCTGCAACATTCATCCTGCATGTTGCCGGCCAAAATGGACCTTCTGAGGAGTGGATTTGCCCCTCAGAAGCTCCATTTCTGTTGGCAATGTGCCAGGCAAGGCCTGTAGAGGCCGGAACAGACCATTGGAGGGGCGCACACCAGTGGTGGGATTAAAAAGTTTTTACTACCAGTTCTGTGGGCGTGGTTTGGTGGGCATGGCAAATTTTATGAATTTGCTTACAAGCAAATTTTATGTGACAGACTCAGGTAGCCGATTGCAGAAAGATAGATCTCTGAATGAATCTGTGATTCTGTGAACAACTCAATCTGCCTGCCCGCTTTGCCTGATTTTGGGTAAAAGTTGCTCTTTTTTTATAAAAAAATTCAATATTTACATAAATATTTATAATATTTACATATAAGCCATGCCCAGCTAGTCACATGACCACCAAGCCATGACAAAGTCAGCAAGCCATGCCCTGCAAGTCACATGACCACCAAGCCACACCCACAAATTAGGCCACACCCACAGAACCGGTTGTTAAGAAATTTGAATCCCACCCCTGGAGGTGGTATTTGCCGGTTCTCCGAACTACTCAAAATTTCTGCTACCGGTTCTCCAGAACTGGTCAAAACCTGTTGAATACCACCTCTGGTACACACGGCTGGAGAGGAGACTGCTTGCTAGATCTTCACAAGGTAGGTGACCCAGCGTGGCAAGTTGGAAGGGGGAGCAATTGTGGGGAGCATGAGGTATTTCGGTGGGTCGGGGAGGCCTTGGGGGGTCTTAGGCAGGTGGCCTGTTCCATCACTAGGCTCCCCATGGCCTTCCCCACCCTGAAATACTTAATGTGCATTAGTGAATGCATGGGCGAAAAGAGGGAATGATCCCGTTCAAGGAACGAGATTCACTCCCATGAATCCTTGGTTTATGAATGGAATGGGCAGGCTTCATTAGATTCATAACCCTGTATATGCAATACTCCCAGAAGAAGCAATGCCAAATAATTTCTGCATTGTTGCCAAAGAAACTATAGGTAGCCCTCCACTTGCAATCATTTGTTTAACATCTGGTCAAGGTTACAACAGTGATGAAAAAGTGACTTACAACCAGTTGCACTTTTAACCATCACAGCATCCCCACATTCATGTGATCAGAATTTGGGTGCTTGGCAATTGGCACATATTGATACAGCACCCTGATCACCATCTGCAACTTTCTCAGGGGCTTCCAAAATGCAAATAATCACATAATTTACTGAACAGCAGCAAAAAAAGTCATAAAATCGGATGCGACTCACTTAACAATTGCTTCTTTTAGCAACAGAGGTTCTGGTCCCAATTATTGTTGCAAATGGAGGACTACCTATACTTTGCTATGAAGTCACCAGTAAGCTATTCCTTACCTAAAACTTCCTCTATTTCTATCTTAAATTTTTAGCGATAAGATATGAGGAAGTTGCAAGTTCTAGAAAATAATACCCATATAATTAGCAGCTAGGAAGAGTTGTTTAATTAACAAAGCTGCTCTGGAATCATTTTGGGTAAATAAAACAAGAGACTAACTAACTAGTCATACCCTATAATCCTAATTTAAAATTGTCCATTAATCTCACAAAACTATAACTTTGGGTTTTTTTAAAAAAAAACCTGACATGTCTTCTGCTTCTGTCTAAAATATTTAATTGTTTCATTCTTTTAAGCTACAAATGGGTTTCTTGGTCCCTGGTAGCTAAAGTTCAAATGCAATAAGTATGTGGTGCTAATCATGTTCCTCTTTGTACAGCCTTTAAAAAGTGCACCTTGGATAGGCTGGATGAGCTGAGGGTGGGGTGGCCTTTGATAACGTCTTGAAGGGGAGAGATAAACAGCCACCTGCATTAGGACTTCCGCAGCAAGACAAAGGCGCTACAGTTTTAACTCCAGCAAATCCAGATTGCTAGTGGCAAGACCAGGAACTGAAGGACAGAGGTCAGCTATATGGAGCAACAGGAGCCACGTGCTGCCTCTTCGATACACTCGTGATTCATTGTCTTCATGGCTGGGAACTTGTTTCTGTTTCCAAGTTGAGATATTTATTCTGGCAATAAAGCAGAACAAATGACAAAGAGGGAATAAGAGTCTTCATTGCAAGATGATCACCTTGTTCTGTTTTCTTAGGCTTCATACAAAAATCTGAAACGATTTGACATTTCTAGCACTCGGCTGTATCCAGCAGATATAAAGGCCTTTTATGCGCCATGGGAATTGAGCAATACAATTCCTGTATTAATTTATTCTGAATTCTAAACTCTCAAGCTTTCATTTACTAAGAATAGAACACGTATGACTATAGTTTGAATGTGTGTTGCTCCAAAATAAAGCTAGTATGAATATAAACAATTTCTATGAGTTCATTGACTTAAAGTGATTGCTTTGATAAGGCAAAATGTTTGCTTTACCTAAGGCCTCATTGTTTGGTTTCAAAGACCAGGCTCCTACTTTTTCCCTGAAGAAAAACTTTGTAATTCTTTGTCACTCTTACATATACCATCTATTATACCTACAAAAAAATAGTTCCTTATTATCCACCTTCTCCTGATTACACTAGAATAGAAGTTAAAAATATCATGGAGCAAATACAGTCAAGAGAATTGAGCACATTGTTCTGCAGGACCACTGCATGGCAGTACTAATTTTTTTTAAAAAATCTGTATTGTAAGTTTGTAATTCTGTTTTTTAACTGAACAGATCAAAATATATTAGCCTAGATTTAAAATATGTTGCATCTTCATATCACTACTCTGCTCAATAGCTTGATGATTTCTCTTTCCTAGACATAAACCAGATCCAGAATGAAAATGTCTCCCTCTCTTTGCTGTCATCTAGTGATCATATGGATTTCTGCAGTCCAAGTATGGTATGCCCAGTCTTGCAAAAGTCCTGTCTATTCTTGTTACTGCAAGCTGACACTTTTCTCTACTGATTTTCAGTGCAGTCATATGATTAATAATAAGTATACATAATATACTGTATATCATGACTACAAACATTGGAAATTTCAGGCCATTTGTTACACACCAGCTCTGACAAAGATGAGAAAGCTTAAGGCATTTTTACTTGGGAAGAAAATATGTATTTATTCATGTTTATGTGCATTGCTTTGTTTAGATGGAGTCATGAAACCTGAAATGCATAAATTAAAAAGTTGTTTGCCAGGATAAGAAACTTTATCCAGCCGTTAGCTGGTTGATTTTCAAAATGCTTCCCAAAAGTCACATCATGGCTAAGTGTAGAAGCTAATTCAGAGGGTCAAAGACAAGAAACGGTTTGTTACAAAAATAAGTACCAGGTGGAAACTATGTCCTCCGTTCCAAACCAAAAGAGAGTTATCTTGTTTACTGTCTACCTTCTCATACTTAATACTAGTTGCTAAATATCTGTGGATGAAAATATGGTTCTCTAAGGATGGATTTGTGGAGTTAAAGACTTTAACAAACTACACAAGTTGAAAGTCCCCTGATCTTGCTGTATTAGGTACAAAATGGATAATGAACTTACTGATATTTAATTATAACTATATTATAATTATTTATTTATTATAATAATAACCAGATACTGGGGGAAAAGATACCATTTTGGAAAACCTTAACACATTTGAAATATCTCCATATCTGATTCCTTAACCACTTTGTCAAACTGGCTCTCACTAAAGTTAATACATTGTTTTAATTTAATCTGTACATCCCATCTTATATGTTTCTATTCAGAAATGCTATAAATTCCTATCCAACATAAGAATAGCCTTGCTGGAATACATCAAGAACCATTTCTGGTCATAAGCAAAAGGTCAACATTTTTTTTCATAAGCAAAGGATGCAGACATATTTTCCTTGTTCCCTTGCCACAGGTTTTCAAAGGCATGCTGCCCATGACACAGAAGGAAGGACCCTAAGTCAAGACCAATAGCTTTTGACAGAGCTGCCCTCCATAAATTTTTGCAATTTTTTAAAGGTCATCTAAGTTAATGTCCATCACCATGCTTTGTGGTAGGAACTCTATAAGCTAATTATGTACTGCATGCCGTACAATAAATTTCATGACATGATGATTGGTTGTAATATTTTGAGAAAAGGAGAAAAACTCTTCCCAGTCTGCTATCTCCATGCCATGAATGATTACATACATTTCAATTGTGTCCCCTTCCATCATGTTTTCCCTAAGTTGAAAAATACCAAAGCTTCTAGCTTTCTCTCACAATTCTGAGCCTTCTTTCACTTCACTATGTAGAGAATTGTATCCGAAAGTCTGTGATTAATCAACAATCCTAATTTCAGCCTGGTCCTAAAGATGAATTCCATCCTCATTCACCACTCATTTTCTAAGTGTTGGAGAGGAGTTATGAAAATAATTCTTTGTGCATAGTCAGGAATATATTATTTTATATGTACATGTATTTATAGCAGATCAATAACAAAAGCTGTATTGTAAATTCCTACCTACAGCTTTGTTTAAAACTGCTTTGGCAAAAGGAGACAGTAGTAATCATAGAGTAGCAGTAGTAATTATCCATATCTCAAGCAAGACCCAGGTGGTTGAATTGCTGGATGCCTTACTTCCAGATGCTGTTGGTAAACATCAGTTCTATTATACAAAATTAGACTGCGATCTTTTAACCTAAGGGATAGATGATCATGTAGATTTGGCATGTATTATTCAAACCTGGTTAAATAGATCTAGCCATATCAAAAATCTGCCCTTCTGGTGTGGAGTAAATTCAACCTTCATGCCTTCAAGTAAAGATCTCATGTCAATTTCTGAGTTCATGGCTTCTACAGTGGCTATGGATTTGACACAAGTAACCCCATCATGAAATTACAAGGGTGTGCA